TCTTTAATCAGTGTTGCGTGAAGACTTAACTGAATATGTTGTAAAAAAATAATTTCCACTTCAACACGTTAATCAGGATGTTGATTGCTATTGAAGAACGAATAGGCTTCTTGAGGTCTTTAATTTAATATAAATTTGTTTAACTTTTAGTTATTTCATTCATGGTGCCTAGGTATTTATTTATTATTTACACTTCATTACTGCTATAGAAAAACAAGTATATAATATATATATATATATATATTTAGAGTTACTATAGATAGAAGATAGGGAGTATATCTATCGCTTTGATAGTAGTAGAACACTTACCTAAGGGGTAAAGACACGCCGAGCGAATGGCCGGTCTGTAATAAGTGTAATTGCCTTATCTGCGTCCTTGCTGCGTCCTTGCTTTCACTGATAACAGTCGCCCGGTACCTGAATCTCTTATATCATATCGCCAACAGGATTTAAAGTAATTTATTCAAAGGGGTTTCCCGATTTCAAGAAACCATAGTACTTTTAATTCTAGTAAAGATGGACGTTGATTGACTCAGTAATGCGAACATAATTTTATATTTACACGGATATAATATATTATATTATTCACATATATAACAATAATGAACGGAAATCGATTCCGTTCATTACTTTCGGGGAAAATTTTAAAAGAATGAAATAATGAATTAAATGTGTATTTATTTATAAAATTATAATATACAGCCTAATAAAATTATTTGATAAAAACATATACAGACGAACGTTATGTACTAACAAAGACAATTTATTATATCTTACCTTGTTAAGTTGTGTGTGTAAGTTTGTATAAGTGTGTGTGTACGTGTTTAGGTTAAAAATCCATTTGTATATTAGTTTGAGCATAGTTTGTACGAAAGTAGGTGTAGTATTTAAAGACAAAGTTTTGAATACATATTTGCATAGAATTAGTAGAACGACAAAAAAGTACTCTTTTTGCAGAATGATGAAAACTCCACGTAGATTTTGGGAATTCCATCTCACAACTCATCCTTTTTTTTAATTGGATCTCCGCCATAAAGTTACGGAATACGCTCCCCAGATCCCATACGATTGGCTACTTATTTACCGTCTTTTAAAAGCATTCTACATAAAAACCCAAGGGGTTACCATATAGGTACTTTCCATCTGCTCAGTAGTGACTTTTGTAATTATAAATTTTTTATCGAATTTTGGAACCTAGCATTAATTGTGATTCATAATTCTTAATATTAGCTTTAAGATATTTTTTTTGATTCAGATGTTAGTTTGTTAAGTGTACATAATTGCTTATATTTTTTGTGAATTTAGTTATGTACTGTTTTCACTTTACCCTTTTTTTATTTTTACTTATAATCACCCGTTGCCTGCTTAATAATTTAAGTTATCTGATTGTTTATACACTATAAATGAAGCAGTGTTAATAAATAAATTTAATAAAAATAAAAGTCTGTTTTATCACTTAATATCAATAAAAAACATTCCTTTATTAAATATGCGAATAATGTCTCACGTAAGTCTTAAATCCGTCTCAAGGTAGGATGGAATTTTTTTGTTTCTTTGGCGTATAAATTATTCAAAGTACGCCGCACTTGTTTTGGTAATATATATTTTAATCGGCAATTAAAGTTATAAAATAAATATTTTGTTTATTCATCAGTCAGACGAAACATTTTTTGTTTTTTTTTTATGATTGATTAATACATTTATCGATTTAATAACTGTTCCGACTGTTCTACTTGTGTATAATGTCTTTATATTTTTTATCATTGATCATCAAGTCCATCCCTTAATCTGTAACTTTCGTATGTTTAACTGCCATATTTTGTTACTTAATATTGGTCAAAATACAACAAATAAAAGACAAAAAAGTTTTTAGTGAGAAGAGAACTCCACGTAAAGCTAAATTTTTAACCGCTTTCAACAAAGCTTATTCGATGTGTTAGCTTAGCTTGTTGTGTGTGTGTTTGTGTAAGAGCAGTGTTGGCCTAGTGGCTTCAGCGTGCGACTCACATACCTGAAGTCGTAGGTGCCATCCCCGGCTGTGCACCAATGGACTTTCTTTCTATGAGCGCATTTAACATTTGCTCGAACGGTGAAGGAAACCGTCATGTCTTAGACCCAAAAAGTCGACGGCGTGTGTCAGGCACTGGAGGCTGATCTCACCTACTTGCTACTTACTTGCTATTGGATATAAAAATGATCATGAAACCGATTCAGAAATCTGAGACAAGAAAAGAGGTTGTAGCGTCACTGATTTATTTTATTTTATTCGATGTGTTACTAGATTATTTCTTTGAATGCAAATATCGTATACGTAATGGAATAATTATTGTCGTCTACCTATCCACATAATAATTGAAGACTCGGAACTCGGAAGCATAACTGACTATTATGGACTGGGCACTGACTGACAAAAGATAGCCTTAACTTCATTTCTGTGTATTCATAAATGTATTGTCATTCAATAACAATTAATTCTCTTAGTATTAAACAACCAATTGTTATTTACTTTTTAGTATATTTTCTACTATTATATGTAGTTAATAGGTTTTTTGGATATACAGAACACATGCTACAACCTCGTTACACTGCTGGAATACGATGGTTAAGAAATTAAATCCTACACTTATTTTATTAAATTTTCAAACTCATTCTCACCTCACTTACTCATATTTCACCATGCCTCCTGCTGATAGAGTACAAGTCTTTGTTTTAAATTTATGTTATTATTATTATTACTTAATATGTCATGTGGAACATGGTGTAATGGTTGCAGCTCTTTACAAACGTTTTGTAAAAGAAACTATTAAAAAGAGTGGCGGAGAGTTTATTGCCAGTTCTTCTCTTCCGTTCTACGCCCTTGATTTGAGAACTGGCAGTAAATGTAAAATGAGAAGCATTAATATGTATTTCTTTATTGACGTTCATAAGTGTACATTGATTTTGTACCTATATGATTAAATGATTTTTGACTTTGACTTTGATTACTTTGAGACACTACTACTTAGATACCAAATAATGTAAAAACTGAATTTAGTATTACAAAACGATGAATCACTAAACATCAAGTTTCGCTGTTAACTCCTATTAAGACGAACGCCTTTTCTCATAAAAAGTTTAAAGAATTCTCGTCATCTAGACCATTACACTAACATCAGTGGAGGTATGCGAATCACCCGAGTGAATTCGAGATAGTGGGTGTAAAAAAATGTCCCTTTCTATTAAAGCGAGATCGGAATGTGATCGCGTAATTTGACGTCGGAAATACATCCTGTATTGCATCTTAATTTATGAGAATTATTTGTGTAATAGCTTTTGTATGATTACAAAATGTGCAAAACTGATAAGGGAGCGTTCAAGTATTACGTAACGCAATTTTTGGAGATTATTGACCCCCCTCCCCCATGTAACTCGCCGTAACGTTTTTCAGTACCCAAGTACAGTACTGTACCCAAGTATAGTAAAACGTTTCGTGACCACCTAGTGACTCTTCAGTTACTATTATGTGGTGTATGTCAAAAATAATATTAACAATAACGTGTAATTCAATCCCCGCCCCGCATCGTAACGTTTTACAAAATGAGTAAATTATAAATATAATAAATTAAGTTGTGCACTTTTTGTAAAGACAGATAAAAATAATACAAGAAATTTTATGGTATTTTTTTATTTTTCGATGCTTTATAATAAAGGGAAGAGTCAATGCAGATAGAATAAGTGACAAAATGCAATTTGTGACAAGTTTTGAGAACAAGTGCTTTGTGAAATATCTATAAAGTAGATGAGACAAATTGTTCACATTCTGTAAGGTTTGAAAATTAATACGCTTTATGTTATATAACTAATATAATTCTTATAAAACCTTTCCAAGAGAAACTGTTTTTTTCTGTTCAAAAACAAATTTTCTATACAATCAATGACTCCTACAAAAAGCCGGCGTTAACTTAAAATAATCCCAAAATATGTAATATAAGCTATATTTTTGCCTCAACTACCTTATACAAAGAGTTTGGTAGAATAATATTGCATTAGATATGTTTTAATTTTAAGACTTTTCTAATATTAATACTAATTAACCACTCACTAAGGTAATAAAACCTAGTGAATGGTAAAATAATCCTAGATTACACGAATAGAATTGATTTATTATCTATATAAACATACATTCTGACATTTTAAAATTAATTTTAACAACTATCCATATGATATATTTTTTACAGTAACGTGTAAATAACAAATTTAACAAAATAAAAATGATTTTCGCAACGAATTATACCGAATTTTCATGATACACTTTGGTAGAATTTTTGACTAAAACGAATGAAATCGTTATATTTAATTAATGCCAATCACATATAGCTAGTTTAGCCACGAAAGTTGCAAAAATATCATTTTATCTACAATATTGATTAATACCTATACTAAATGTTTAAAAGAATACTTTTCAGATTAAAACACAAAATTGTCATTTAAATTATAATAAAAAAAGACACCAAAATAGTTATAAATTATCTGAAATGTGTATATATTCTTTACTCCATTCCGTAAATGCATCGTAAGTATACTTTTGCAATTTCGTGGTTTTAAATGTCATTTACAATCTTAATGTACCTTATCTATTTACAAATTCGGAGTCTCCATAAGTAAATCTAGGAACAGAAATTTCGTATTTTTAACACGAATCTAATCTTACCTTATCGTTTTTGTACAAATAACATTAATACAAAGTAATATTAAATTAAAATCTATTGCTATCTATTCCAGAGAGTCATCATTACGTTTCCCTAGTTAGATAATATTTAAAATCTACCTCATTGCATGTTATCGACAAAGATGTCCTCCACTGAATAACGATTTCAACAAACATCGACAAATACCCTCACTTATTAATTGATTCTTGTCTTTTGCCGTTCTCTTATCATAGTAACTGTCATGTGTAATAGGACCTAGTTAATTCACTATTCGAAATGCTGATGCCACAAAGGCATCGGGTACATCGTTGGCTAGGTGGATATCGCAAGAGGAGGACGCGAAGCATGGGACGGGTGAGAAGAGTGTGGTGTGTGCGGCGAATCAGCTGTTGACCTCGCCCCAGGGGAACAGGTCACTTTACCCATAAACGACCTGATATCATCAAAGCAAGCGTCTTGCTCCGTATCTGCTGAACTAGGGGAATCACCGCCCTCAGCTTCGTGCTTCTTCAAATGCCTATCCAAGTTGGTTTGCTGGCCAAAGCACCGGTCACAAAGTGGACATCTGAACGGGCGCTCCTTGTTGTGTATGTTTCGGACGTGCCTCTGCAAATTCGATGAAATGGAGAACGACCTCTCGCAGTATTTACACTTGTACGGCTGCTCCCCTGTGTGTGTTCGTAGATGACGAGTGAGATTTGCACTTCGAGGGAATACTTTACCGCAGAATTTGCAGGCGTAGCGGTCGCGTAGCTTACCAGATCCGGCACTTAGCTCTCGAAACTTTGCGTAATTTGACTGCCTTTCTGGGCCATCAGTACCGAGAAGTGGGGATAAAAAATTAAATGGACTCGGAACATAAGGTGAGTGTGAATTCAGGATCGACTCGGATGGCTGAAAGGTAGGAAATCTAGGTCGGTACATGTCCATGAGACTGGTATTGTGTTGTGGGTGAACGGGCATCGGAAACGCCAGAGAGGGAGAGATTATTTGGGGAGACTCTTCTCGTTTGGGTTCTACTGCTTCTACGTCTACATCAGTGGTATCATTTTCAGGAGTCTTAGTGTCTCTTTCAAGAGGACTTTCTGCTGGGGAATATGATTTGATAGATGAGTTACGAAAGGAGCGATCATCATTTTCCTGTTCAGAATATTTTACGCTTTTTCTAGTTATTGATAAATCTAAGGGTTGGTCGTTTTGATCTTTTTTGGTGTCTTCCTCTTCCTCAAAATAATCTGCTTTCTTGTCAGTTCCTTTTATCGATTTTGATAAGTCAGTAGGTGACGGCGAAGATGACCTGGTTTCCATTATGTCAATATTGTTAATTTTTAGCGACAAATTATTTGGGCTTTTAATATTATCTCTGGAGAAGTTAAACGGGGCCAAGGATGATGATGAGGACATGGATGAATGCTTGGAGATTTCATCCGACTGTGATATGTGCTTTAGGAAAGGATTTTGGGGCTTAGGTGTTACTCGTTCATTTTCATCTTTTTTGATGACATCCACTTCATTTTCTTGCCTTTTCACTTCTTCAACTGAGGCTGAACTGTCGACACTTTTAACAGACATTCGCCCGTCTTGCTGTTGTTTTGCCACTAAATTAGCATTGTAGGCCATGTTTTGTTCCATGGCCAGCCTTGCTCCTTGCACATTGAATAGGAGAGGACTTAAGAATTCTGGAGGGCACGCAGCGGCTGCCGCAGAAAACAAAGCAGGATAGTGAGCAAATGTATTGTATGGAAGTGGCAATGTTGGCCTATACATCGGGAACGGATTGGTGTTATTTGGTGTATTCATGACGTTGGGTATTGGTGATATTTGCGGAAGGCCTTGAGAAAGCTGTCCTCGCATATTTACGTTGCCACCGGTAGCTGTGTCACAAAATCGCTTGTGTTTAGTCAGGGAAGCGTAGGATGTAAATGATTGGCCACATTTCTGGCACTCCACCAGGGCTCGACAGGCGACGTGCATTCGTTTGTGTCGACACAAGTTGGAGAACTGCGTGTAAGCCTGGAAAGAAGAAAAAAAGAGTTTAAGTTTCCTTGTTACTAAGAATATAATCATAATTATTTTTGGCACCATAAAAAGGTAGCATTTGACACGTTACCAAAATCAAAATAATGTAATTACCTTGAAGCAAACTTTGCACTGGAAAGGCTTGACACTGGAGTGAATGTGTGTGTGCTGCTTGAGGCCTGACGAAGTGGCGAAGGTCTTGCCACACTCAGGACAGGCGTGGCTGCGCGCACCGACGTGCTGGGCGCGGATGTGGCGCTGGAGGTTGGAAGGATCGGTAAATACCTGAAATATAGTCAGGTTTCGGAACGTGATATAATTTTTCATTTGAATTCACTTGGTGATAAATAACATCAGGTTTCGTAACGTGACTTATACGGTAGCGGAATTTGTCTTGTAATCTATTTTAAAGCAGGATTCGAACCTTTCAATATTTAGTAGGTAATTTCACTTAAATATAAAAACATTAGGCATCGTTCGTGTCATCTAAGTAAATCAAGTTCCTAAGCTAGAGCCTGATCAACGCGCTATGCATATTAATGAGGTTTTAATGGATGTGTAATAACTCTTACCTTAGGGCAGTTTTCGCACGGATATTTCCGTATGTCTGTGTGTGTTAGAGCTCGGTGACGCAGAAGTAACGGCCGAGAGCAGTAAGCTCGATTGCAAAGCTCACAATGGTATGCCGCTGCTGGCTGGGCGTGAGCTTGTATAAGATGGCGATCGAGTCTGAAATTAAATATTAAAAACTTATTAATACGTATATAAAGTGGGGAGGAAAATAATTAAATTAAACGTTCAATGATGAACTCTTTTTTTACAAATGATGATTCATATTTTATACTGTTTACAAGGCAATATACCTTTCAACATTTTACATCTTTAAATATCTAAAGAAAAAAGTTGTCCAACGGCTAGCACACCCTTTTATTGCATAGTATTACTAATATTTATCACGTCACTGAGTCACGTAAATAGAACTCTAGACTCAAGTGTTTAAGTATTTAAAGTCATTGTGTCTATTACTCTCACAATGTCAATGCAAATTATCAGTTCTATAACCTCTTCCGACATATGATGTATAGCATATATTATTTTCAAAAATTGAATCAAAGACTCCTTGACGCTAACTGGTTCAGTGCACGCAACCCTACATGCCGGAGGCTGCTCTTAATGTTACACCTGTCAAACCCCACATTACCGACTGCTCGACAATGTTAGGAATCCATTGACGCGTTACTTTCAAGTATAAAATTACCTCCAGTATTAATACTACCATCTACACTATGTGTAACGATTACTTCGTTTGCCATTGATAGGAGCGTTTTCACTCTCGACAAGCGGCCGCTGCCATATCTTTTAATTAATCTGCAGAATAAAATCTAAGTGGTACTACCGTCCATTGCGTATCCAACTTCACCGGTAATCAAAATAGTGAACGGGAAAGTGGTTATTTAATTTGAATCAATCTAAGCTAGACCATATTTGCAGCGATGTTTTCACGCATAATTAATGCAATAGAGACGTGTTCCATTAGCATGGTCTATCTTTTAATAATTTAGATGTTTACTTTATGTTTTACCGCGTGGAATATTTAGAATATCATTACATTTATGTTAATGTTTGCAACAAGGAATCGAATATAGTGAAAACAGTATTTTATTACAAGACTAAAAATTTGCGTACAACAGTTGACACATCAAGACTTAATTGTAATACGAGTATTGTGTTATTATCATTTTGTTACATATATTTATAGATGCTAATTATTTCAATTTAATTTGGTCATTATAATCTTGGTAAACTGTTGTACTTAATCTTTTGAAAGTAATATTTAAGTGATGTAACACACATCCGAAAGTTGCATTGTATCTGCGCTCCCGATCTTAACATGAATATTTTTATAAGCAAATAATATACATGACTCTATTATTGTGTATTGTGTGGCTCCTAATTGCTTTTATAAAGATTTAATGAAAGATGGTTAAGAAAGTTTGAAAGGAAATCTAAAAGTTTATTTTTGGGTTAAATATTAAGTTTTTAAAGTTATTATTTGTTAAGTTACAATTCACGTATTACCACTTCCTTTATGTCTAAACCACATCACTTTTCATATAACTAAATGAAGAGTAAACCGTAGCTAAGCAGGCTATGAGAAATGTGTGTCTGAAGTCCCGTAACAGCCAAAGATTCATTGAATAGCTAGTCAATAATTCGAAATAAGTATTTAATAAAAAATTGCCAGGGACTCTATCTCCGAATTTTAAACTTATAGAAGCGACTCACATAATTTTGTTTGCAAAGGGTTAATATGAAAGCCGTATCTATATTGGATCTCCGGTTGTCGTGTTCTATGCAAATAACAGAAGTTTCAGAAGTATAAGATCTTGATCATAGAAAACGAGCAACGTGTTCGCGGATTGATAACATCCAATGAACAACTTTCATTCCGCTTGGAATCATTTAACTCCACCCACATACGCCACTGAGGTCTGATGTGGCTGTAAGATGCTGCTGAATTAATCTTACTCATATTACATGGGTTTAAAAAGCGTTACGAAATACAATAACTCCTAACCTCCTGCTGATAGAGGACAAATCTTTGTTTTTAATTTATTTTATTATTATTAATTAACTATTAATTACTTAAGATGTCATTTGGAAAATGGTTTAATGGTTGCTAATCTAACTAAATCTAATTCGGCTTAGAGTCCTTCAAGAAAAGAGTGTACAAGTTCTCAAAAAAAAGGCAACGCATTCGTGCGCCCTCTGGCATTGAGTGTCACATAACATCAAGTGAGCCCCGTTATATAAAAAATAGCAATGGAATGTTTTATTTAGACCACATGGGGGCAATTCAAAAATTATTTGGAATTTGAATTTCCGTTGTTCAATATTTTGAAAATTTACTTACTGTGTTTCGTTGACAATTTCCTAGTAATTTCTTCTCATAGCTATAATTTAAGTCCATTAAGTGAACAATTAATTTTTTTAGTAATTTCAGCATATCTTACTACTTTCGATGTTGGTAAATTATGTTTAAAGCGCAATTTTACCCGCCTAACGCTCTAATGATGCACTACCGACATAAGTGCTTACATTTTAATAACAATCTATTGTAGAAGCCACCTGCCGACTGGCAATTTCTATTTGTTATTCAGATTAGTTTTATTACAAGTACGATCTGATGTAGGAATTAATAGGTTTCGTTTCTTGATATTGCGGAAGATATCCGAGTTGATTTTTATTATTAACAATTTAAAGAAGTGTTGGTCTAGTGGTTTCAACGTGCGACTCTCATTCCTGGGTTAGGTTCGAAGTTCGCATCCTGGCTGTGTTCTTATGTGCGCATTTGCCACCCGCTCGTACGGTGAAGGAAAACATCGTAGGAAAGTGATAATCATCAATCTAATCAGCTGTTTAATTATAAGTGCTTGTCACATTAAAAAAAGGGGTGCGTGTACTTATGTACGCGCGTAAGAAGTACTACTTCTTTGGCATTATTAAAAACAGTTTTTGATTGCATGCAAATAATTAATTACAATTAAATAATCTAAGACTGGAAAAGGAGTCATTATAGTCAATAAAGTTCAGTTTACATTTGAAAAATTAAATAAATAAATATTTATTATTATTCGAATGTTGTTTTTAAATTATGTCCAATGCTGTAGTATCTTCCGTGGGCAACTTCATTCTGTTAATTTTATGTCACGGTGCGCGCGCATCGTAAAATTTCACTCTCATCAATTTTTCATAACGCGCCTAAAGAAGTATAACTTCAAAAATTGTATATTGTGGTTGTTTTACCAATGTATCAGTGTGCCGAGCGTTGACAAGCTTTTATCAATAATTTTTTTTTTTATTATTAAAATAAGCATAAAGTACATAAAATGCTATTTCTTTTGTCACCAGTAGTCGGTGTCTTATCTCCATAACTCAAGAGAAGCATCATTGATCAGAATCTTTTGATCACGCGCGCCAGATTCATCAATCAAAATTATTGTATGTAAATTAATGTAACGGACATTTTACGATCTGACTAGTTAGTACTACGACATTGTCTTGGAACTAGGACAAACAAGTACATAATGCTAGCAATTAGCGGTAATAGCGGCTTTTTAACTTTATTACGTCCAATGAACTGGAAGGCATGACTTAGATCACTTAGGGCTGATAAGGCTTCAGTAATACCTAACAATGATTTCCTTTGCCGACCGAGTACGTGTTGTAACATAGAAAAATCGGTGCACTGCTGAGGTTCAAACGAAATTTCGCATCCTTAACCACGTGTCGATAAAAAATATTTATGTCATTTAAAAGAAAATATTTGGAAAATTTTGGATGAAAATACCAAAAGTACCTCCATGAATTTTTAGTTCATTTTTCCAAGAGCACTTCAACCTTTCAGATTATAGCGCGCTCATATTTGACTCGTGTTAATTTCTAATAGGTGGCAACGTTTTGTGCCTGACACACACCGTTTTTTCATGCGCACATCGAAAGTTCATTGGTGCATTGCCGGACATCGAACCAACGACCCCAGGATGAGGCACTAGGCCAACACTGCTCTTGTTTAGTGTTGTAAAAAAGTCGAAGTCGAAATCACACTTAAATGTTAAAAAGTATTATATAATGCGGCCTATAATTTTGATCCTTTACTGTCACATCAGATCGCTTATCAAACATGACAGATTGCGAGATGCTAGTGATTACGACGCTCAAAGTAAAAGCGGAATGCGAACTGCATTGTAATGGCTAGTTTAGGTATAATTAGAATCTTGAAATACGTTTATTATATAATTCATACAAATAATGCAGCCTGTATTGAAGTAAGTTAGAAGATTAATAGAAACTTCTCAAAATATAAAAATGTTCGTTTGACTCGAGAATGGCAGGACGGATTTGGCTAATTATGTAATTGAAAGATTTGTGGCAGTTCAGGGAACGTTTAAACTAATTAAAAAGTAAAGAAAATATTAAAAACGGCAATTGAATTTGTGAATAAAAACTAGCTGGGAAATGTTTGATGTCTTTTGTTTTATTAGAAGTTAAAAATTATCACTACGTTGTCATATATTTATGATTTCAGAAATTTGTATTTTATAGTTTTAAAAGTTTTGTTTTAAGTTTTGTCTCATATATATATACGTAGGTGATACGAAGTCCACCGGGTCATCTAGTGATTTATAAAATCAAAATACGTTGTTTAAAAGTCGAATAAATTTCTCTGATTAAACGTGTTCAATAACACTCCATAATTATACCAATATATTTTTAGTCATTATCAGAAGGTACAAGTTAAAAGTTACCGTAACCGACGAGTATGCAATGTCATAAAGAAAAGCAAGTTACGTCAGGGCCGTATAAAGTGGAGATCCGTTGTCTCTGCCCATTGCTTTGGAAAAAAGGCGTGAATATAATAAATAATAAATACCTATACAAGAAAACAAAAAACCGTTCGTCGAAAAATTTAAATTGATTTTAGTAAACTATTTAATAGAGATGTGATAGCGAAGATATGTGAACCGTGCATGTCGATAATCTAGAATCCTTGCATTATTAACGAAGTACGATGTCGCTTCAATAGAATATGATGACACGCGAAGCGATATCACAAAACAAATCAATGATTTTTCGTTGTTTCGTGACAAACCTGTTTTCTCATTACGATTTCAATCGTGCATTATTTTCTTATTTTTGACAAGGCTTTACCGTCACCGTGGCTAAATGGTACACATAAAACAATATTTCCAGTCGGTAGCCACAAAAAAGTTCTTCAATTATTTGCCAATAAAAAAATATTAATCTTCCGCAAGCCATATTGGCTTAGTAGGAAATCGAACCATCTTTATACTTTCTCATTTACAAAATGGTGCTTAGCTACTTTTACCATATTGCCAGGACATAACCAAATAGTCTTGGCAAGTTGGTAATGGTAGGTAGGAGTTATGGCAGGAGAAGTCGTTGTTGATCATCTAAAAAAATTATGGGTCTCAAGGTGAGGATATAATTCTGTGGAGGCAGGAAGTCGATGTCGAGCTTTTCAAGACAAGCACGACCTTCAATAATTGAAGTTTTGAAGGATATCTTTTCTAATGAATTAAAAAAATGTTAACACGACTTTAAAATACGATTTTTGACATTCGACGCCTCCTGCATCTTAACTATATTGATATTTTTAGTAAAAACATAACAGCTGGTCTTTGAAACTTCTCAGTTTATAGAACTTTTTGAATTGGCAAATAATTTGACAGATAGCAGACATTCTTCAAATAAATTGTAAAGCAATTCTATTCCATTACAGCTTGTAATTACACACCTTAAGATGTCGAAAGCGTGAGGAATTTAAGAGATGTTGCGACGTCGCGTGCCACCGTCGCAAGCAACAAATCATCGACGAGGCTTATCGAATGGGTACATCTCTAGCCATCGGACTTTAGAACTAAATTCATTTCTCGCTGACCTTACGACATTTTATATTGTTAAATAACTATAATTAGCTACGAGGCATTATGAGCTTTGATTGCTATATCAAACGCTATTCATCTTAAGAATTGCATAAGATTTTGCCCTAAATATGTAAAACGAATTTCTATCACCTAGACAAAATGACTCGTTAGTACTGTTTGTCATTTTTTTATAGAACAGGGTGCAAACGGATAGGAGGCTCACCTGATGTGAAGTGAGACCACCACCCATGGACACTCTCAATGCCAGAGGGCTCGCGAGTGCGATGCCGGCATTTTAAGAATTGGAACGCTCTTTTCTTGAAGGACCCTAAGTCGAATTGGTTCGGAAATACTTCAGTGGGCAGCTGGTTCCACATAGTGGTGGTGCGCGGCAAAAACTGCCTTAAAACACGCACAGTTGTGGAACGACGGACGACGAGGTGATACGGGTGGAATTTCGAATTCGGCCTAATTTTCAGCCTTTTTGAATTTTTTTATGTATCGATGAAGGATAATAATTTATTTAATTTACAAGTCTTTTAAATAGACACAGTTCCTTTCAGTATATTTTTTAAAGAATATAAATATGTACTCACGCGTCGATATTTGGAAAGGGTGCGTCGCAGTGGGAGCACCTCGGTTCTGTATCTTCTCTCTCCTCGTCTTCAGTCAGCGCTTGGGAGCCGCTGGATGAATTAACACTAGAGCCTTCACGACCTGAAATTGAAAATATATTACGTCAAAAAAAGTTCCTGTTAACAACGTTGATTTTATTAAAGTTTAAATGATTCTTTGGTGTTAAAATTTTCAATTTTGAAGATCATGCGCACACGTCACGCAAAAACAACACATCCTGTGACATTTGTAAGTTGATCTCATATTACGAACAAATTTCATAATCGTTGCACCAGAATAAAAACACTTTAATAGTAGCATAGTAAAAAATATTACGATACAAAATTTATGATTCAATAAATTTTAAAATAAAAATATCGTTTTGTATCTTACAATTCTCAGGATGGTATAATGATAGCACGGATTCACCAGGTACCGAGTTCAAAAGTCAAGCGGTTACTATTTGATGTCAACACAATACAAGTGGTGAATTATGCCACCCCCACCCCACCTGAGGGTTAAAAACTTGACCCACTCGATTTAGAATCACCAATGCGTGACATACAATATGACTTTAGTTTACGCGATTTCCTTTCTATGAACTATAATGTTGATTTTTAATCACAAAATTGCTTTCTTGGACATAATTATCCAACCCCAAGTAAAAGCCCGAAAATCTAGTTCTAACTAAAGCACTTATTGGTCTAAGCCTGAGCAACTGGAGAGAAAAGTTTTGGTTAAAATACTGCAATACCACTTATTTATTTTTTATGATTACGAATTAATTCTAATTTGTAATCTAACAATAGAAGTCTTAGTAAGTAGAAAAAGTTGGTGAATATAGAAATTTAATTGATTTGATAATAAATAATCTGTATTGTATCGTATGCTAAACAAATAAATCTGAATGTAATTACTAGCTATAGTATAATAATAATTTATTTGAAAACATATTTATGGTACAAAAATATTAATTAATATGTTCAAGATGTGTGCATCAAGGGATGTCCTAACAACAGGTTATCACGGTGTATCTGTGTAATTTGGAATAATAATAAATAAGTAAAAACATAATTTTCTCGTTCTATACACCCAAAATTATTTAGATAAGGTACCTACCCTAAGCGTTCTTGGAACCTGTATAATTCTTCGCACGAAATGAACATATAAAACAAATAGCAAAAGCCCTTGGTTTTTATAGAACTAAAAGCTCGCGGGCTTTCCCGTTTCTCAACTTTTCGAAATTGGAAGGGCTCAAGCTTTTTTAAAAAGCTCTGGGCTTTTCCGCTTTATAAGTTCGCGTTTACATTCCTGTAATATGAACTTTTCTGATGAACTATCAGTAATACTTTCTGTTGTAACACAACAATGAGCAGTCGTTTTCTTAAGTAATGTAAAGAACCTATCCTATAAAGTCTATCGTTCCTAAGCGTTTTAAGGCAGTTTTTGCCGCGCACCACAACTATGTGGAGCTTCCCACTGAAGTATTTCCGAACCAATTCGACTTAGCGTCCTTCAAGAAAAGAGCGTACCAATTCTTAAATGGCCGGACACTCGCAAGCCCTCTGGTAATGGTGTCCGTGGGCGGCGGTATCACTTAACAGTTGAGTCGTTGAAAGAGTTTACATAAAAAAATGGACAAAACGAAAAGAACTTAAGGTCACTTTAATGACCTCTTGTTCCTACTCGAAATTGTTGCTTATAGATATTCAAACTCGAGACCACAGAGTTAACCGACACTGCTCTTGTTTGATCATAATAGGCCTAAGCTCACAAAGGCATATTCTAAATAATATGATTCAACTGTTATAGTTTCCCAAAACTAACCATCTGACAGTACGTTTGTATGTACGTTAAGTTTTCCCACGACCGCCAAATGGCGTAAACTGACAGCGTGACGGTGACTTACCGATCTTTTAAATTACATAAGTGACCCCCGCACTTGCTCACCTGTTGTTTCTCGCGGCTTAAACAGCCCTTAATTATTTATATTAACGATGTATGTACCGTTGCCGTTATAAGATGACATATTATTTTTATGTTGATTTACGGAAGCTCTGATTTTAAATACGGTTTTATATAAAATGTGTCGCTACTAGCATAAGTATTGTTTATATACATTTGAAAAAAAAGTAACTTAATTTTTAATATTTATTTAGAAGTTTTTTTTTTAATAACAAGCAAATGGGCATAGACACTCAAATCGCCAGAGGGCTCGCAAGTGCGTTGCCGGTGGCCGGTAAAAGTTATAATTACATATTCACCATTATATATACCATAAGAGCAGTGTTGGCCTAGTGGCTTCAGCGTGCGACTCTCATCCTTGACGTCGTAGGTACGATCCCCGTCTGTGCACCAATGGACTTGCTTTCTATGTGCGCATTTAACATTTGCTCGAACGGTGAAGGAAAACATCGTGAGGAAACCGACAAGTCTTAGACCCAAAAAGTCGACGACGTGTATCAGGCACTGGTGGCTGATGACCAAGTAGGTAGGCCCATAAAATTTATAAATGATCATGAAACAGGTTTAGAAATCTGAGATTAAGACCTAAAGAGGTTGTAGCGCCACTGATTTTTATATATATATATATATACCATGCCTATGTATGAGATGTCTATAAAGAAAATCCATTGGTGAAAAACTAGAATCCAAACTCCTGATGACATCAGATTCTTTTTAATTAATACAAATTCGTTATTCAACATTTGAACAATACTAAAATTACAGCGGAAAACCTTTAAAGTTTAAACGTACTATCGAGGCAGAAGTTCCTATTAGCCTAAGAATGTTTGAATAATACAATGGGCATCGCGATCTCATTTCCTATTAGAAATAACCCTGCGTGCGCTCGCGGCTACTTTCTGACGCATCAGGTGCGACCTGACTTACCGTTACACCCCGCGGTGCGAACGGGCCCTTACCGGCATTGTCCGTTTGCGCAGGATGCTGATAAAACGCAGATTTGAATTCATTATAATTTATTACCGTTGCGTATACTGGGTCATAATTTTCATATAGGTTATCAGGGAATATGAAACTTGATTTGTAATTCACTACGTTAGATTTATCTCCAAAATAAGCATGACTGGAATAAATTTTTATCTATGGTTTTATAAAAATTGTTTAATTTCGCGTTTCATCTAGATAAGCAGTCTAATCTGTTAACAAAAGTCCCGTTGCAGATTTAACCCTTCACTGGGGGCGGGAATATTAAATTGAAATATTTCTATTTTATTGTCCGTAATATTTATTTGATTGTAAAATAAATATGCGATGTGGGACGCCGAGCGATTGTGTACGGTTTAATGGGGTGTGTGGGTATTGTTGGTTAATTTTTTGATTAATCATTCTATATTTGAGGGATCGTTGCGATTATGTCTTTACATTCTATTCTATGTTCGGAGGCGACAGTGCCAATTTGAAATATGTTTTATTATTAATTTATTTCTAATGTTAAAATTATTAAACGTTAATTATATTTATTTATATAATACTCGAGATTGAATGATGTACAATTTTTAATATTAAATCTAAATATCTTAAAATTTGTAACATTTAAAGTTTTTTTTTGTTATTGGGCTTTCTGTTCTTGGGCGTCTATATAAAATATGACTTAAATTATGGGTTATCAGATTGCGAAAAATAATGGTCCTGATAACGGCTTCTGTTCAATAAAGGCGCGTGCGCAACGGACAAAGCAACGTCATCAATTTTAATCTGACAATTGCGCGATGACAAATGTCAACGCGACACTCATTCATTATACGCATGAGCGCACGCGGCCAATATGAAAAAAGCGCGGCTAATAAAGGGTTGACTCGGTATTATTATTGCGTTTGACAGACAGATTATAATAATTTTATTCATATTTTACATCTATATTAATCCCTAAAGGGCTTAAAAACGAGATATTTGAAAATTAATCTCGTTTTATTATTTAAATGTGTATATTCTGTTTACTATATCAACACTGTTATTTTTTGAATTTAGAAAATCTTGAAGTCACCAAAAACAAAATGCATATTTATCATAATATATAATAATAAATTACGCGTCACGTTGTGTGTCTATGAACTCAGAAACTACTTTTTAAATTCTATCAAATTTGCACACCGTGTGCAGATTGATCTAATTTAAAAGAGAGGATAGGTTACATATATATATAATTCTATTGTACGTGTGTATGTCACTGAACTCCTCTTAAACGGCTGGACCGATTGATTGATTACCGATTGAATTTTTTTTTTTTTAATAAAACAAAATACCTCAAATGTTTTGAAAACAGAAACAAATTGTATCGGAAAATAAAATTATTTATGCTTATATTTATATTATATATAATTCGTTAAACACACAAATTATCCTAGATCAAAATTAGCCAAACCGGTCCGGCCGTTCTCGACTTTTAGCGAAACAAAGGAAAAGCAATTCATTTTATATATATTTTCTTTGCATCTAAGCATATCAATCAAATCCAAAATAATATAATAATAAATAGTAATGAATACTTCTACGCAACTTATGTGCCATCATATCATTAATCCTTTCGAAGCGTTATCGAAATTAATATGAATGAAAGAATCTCACGATAACTCCCATCAATCATGTCTTACGCAAGGCCCGGAGCATTATAACAAATGCTTGAATGGAGCGACTGCAAATCGATTCTAATTAGGGATAACATTTGAGAGTCACTGTCGAGTGCAACAGCTGATGATAATGTGGGTGGGTTCTGATAAATAGCTTTTGTCTGAAAGCTTACGCTTATATGGAATATACGTATATGTACATACATCAAGTATTATATAAACAACAATAATTATCTTATAAACTTGTAAACGCCATTGCGCTAGCTAGAACAATACCATTTTTAGGCGTAATAGGAAGAATTGAAAAAGTATTTCAATACAGGATTGCAGACTCTAGAGAAGGCCTTTGTGGTAACTCAATCAATCAATTTAATCATATCTATGTATGCAATATAAATTATAGCATGGGCTTCAGATATCTGTATCTGTTTCATGATCATTTGTCAATCTAATAGGCAAGTAGGTGATCAGCCTCCTGTGCCTGACACTAGCCGTTGACTTTTTGGGTCTATGGCACGATGTTTTCCTATGCGCAGATAGAAAGAAAGTCTATTGGTACACAGCCGGGGATCGAATCTACGACTTCAGGGATGAAAGTCACTCGGTGAAACCACTAAGCCAACATTGCTCTTTGTATGTATGGATATGGTATGTAAATTATATAAACCAGACATAGTAAGAATGCATACTAGTGACTGCAGATATCCGAATTATCTGCATTGATTGCGCGTTATCATACAATCTAAAGCAAAATAGATCAAGACCACCTTGGCTAAATTCACGAATTGTATCCTCACAATTACCTTAGAATGTAGCCGCACCTTGTACTATGAGTCATTACCCTAACAAACCAGAAAATAGACACTCTAGTGGATAATTTTATAAACAGAACGGTAATTACGTGCAATTGGGATCGCATAAATCACGCAGAACGCGACGCCAGCGGAAGTTGCGCCGGAAGTTCTGAAGACCCTTGTAAATATGGTTTTGTACTGGATGTGACTGCTACTGGCTGAATAAATTTAAATTTCGAATCCACTTTGTTTCAAATTTTCGAGTCGGTTTTATAAATCCTTGAAGTTAAAATAGAATTTTTTAAAGTTAAATTAAAATGCATCGTTTCAAAAGCTTTTTTTATGTTTCATAAGTGTGACTGTGTATTTAATGGAACATATTTTACGTAGCTTTATACACTAACATTAGTTTTATCATATTTATTTAGTATAGGAGAGTGGAAGTGACAAAATATTGATGTAAAACATCTTTAACGGACATCAATCATCAACCTTGTATATGGTTGTATTAAAGAAGGTTTTAAAATCGCTTGTCAATAGACAATAACTCGCTAGACAATACATTGAATAGCTATTAAAGACTGGTACGTGTGAAATAATTCGGGCACTTAGAGCTATTTTAGTTAGCAAAATTCAAGGCAAGAGACGGGCTGGTGGAAGAAAGAAGTGGTTGCGTAACGTAAGAGAGTGACCGGCATCACATCCGCGCTGGAGTTTTGACTAGCGCAAGATACCCGGCAATTCAAGTTGTTAACAGCAGTAACAAAGTAGCAACGGAAGAAGAAGTAATCCTAATAGCTTGAATATCATTTAAGTTCTGAAGTTGTTCCTTTAACCTTTGGATTTTTATTATTATTTAGCAATAAGGCGTATCCAGTGATAAATAATGATTGTGGACCCCACCGTTAATATGGCATATGCGTGATTTTTCACGACGTGCGTCGTACGTTGCGATTTATCTAAATTAAATATCGTATGCGCGTGCCACCCGCCCTGTGATTTTTGTTCTACAGTATGAGCCTTCATTACTTTGATAAAAATACTTGATTGTGTATGAGAGACATGGGAAAAAGTTGTTTATAATTTGCCAAGCTTTTTGACAGTTTTGGCGGTTGTTTTTTGTTGTAAAATGGGCTTCGATAACGGCACATATTTTCTTCAGGCGTTCTTCCTATGTGCGCATTTATCTTTTATCAACGGTGAAGGAAAAGTTAGTGAGGGAACCGGCTTGCCTTAGACCCGAGTCGACGGCGTGTGGCACAGAAGGCTGATCGCCTACTCGCCTATTAGATTGGTAAATGATCATCTAACAGATACCGAAACCTGAAGCCCAGACCTAAAAAGTTTGTAGCGCCGCTGATTTTTTTAAATAATTGTTTTTATTTCAGTTTATTTAAAATTTATAAAGGCTCAGAAGTTAACGTTATAATGATTTCCGGCAAAACAATATTGTTTCGGCACAGAAGGCTCTTGCTTTAAAATTTATCAATAACTCAGAAATATAACTAATACATAAGAAAGGTTATTATTCATTTGAATTCAACCTGTATATGTTGTTCGAACACACAGGGTGCTAGTCACACGTCGAGGGCAGGTGACTCCAATTAACTGCTGGTGAGAGTCAACCTACCATGACACTGATTGTCATATATTCTGATTTTATTTACGTGAATTATTTATATATGTTATATGACCAAGGAGTAATTATTACCAATTATGTTAGTACATATATTTATTAGTCTTCATACATAAAAGAACTCAGAGACGTTATATAATCGCTTCAGAAATGATCATACAAGCTATAAATATTACGCTAAAATTGCTTAGTAATTAATATTAAGTAATTTAATTAAATAGCCAAAATGTATAAACTTTGACTGTTTATTTACTATATACATATAAAATATATTACCAGAAATGAAGCTCTGGCTTTGTTGGACTCATTTGAATGGATTTTTTTAACGCTCGGCACACTGATACATTGGTAAAGTAACCACAAAATACAATTTTTTATGTGACAAACACTTTAGGCAAACATACACGAAAAGGTAATACAAATTTTAATCAAAACAATTAAAATTACAAAATAATTCATATAAGATTCAACTTACCCCCAGCGGATAAAACGTCTTGCAAAGGCAGAGGTGTCCTTGGGCCTAGAAGGAGTTCCTGGCCTGATGGGATGTCACGTGTTACTTTGTACCATATCTGGAACATTTATTCGATCATTTAAGTATATAAAAACTTTGTGTTTCTAAACGTGTACGTCCAATCGTTCGTTTGCAAAATGGAGTTTATTTATTCAAATCAAATCAAATCAAAATACGTTTATTCAATTTAGATGCTTCTTAGAGCATGCTTATGAATGTCAACAACGTTTACAAAATTCACGAAAGAGCAAGACTACGCCATCCGTTCGCAAAACTACCAGGAGGCCTTGTTCTGAGAAGAACGGGCAAGAAACTCAGCAAGTTTGCCCTCCCTTTACATTACAATTATTCAAAGGAAAATGTCATAAAGGATTAAATTGTAAATGTATTAAATTACTAGCTGGCCTGGCGAACATCGTACCGCCTAACAGTCTATTCTTTATTTTTTTTTAATACTTATTCTGCTATTCGGGACACCGGTCTAGCTAGTAAGATAAAAAAGAAAGTTGATAAGACAACAAATACATTATGTCAAAAATAAAAATTTTCCTTCCCGGAACCTCTCCACTAACATTTGAACTCTATGATATGGTATTAAAGTTCAAATTGACTTTTAAGTATTATTACGAATATTTTGTATGGGAATATAGAAAAGTTGTTTTTAGACTTTATCACTCATTTTTTTTAAATTTGTCTCTCCGTAAGAACCATCCTCGTAATTCAAGGAATATTATTAAAAAAAATCAGACAAATCGGTCTAGCCGTTTTCATGTAATGTCGTGACAACGGAAAACGGGTTTCATTTTTATATAATACTAGCTGATCCGGCAAACGTCGTTTTGCCATGTATATCATTTATAATAAAAAATAGGGGTTGATCGTAAAGGGGTGAAAATTAGGGGTTGTATGTATTTTTTAATGCTGTATCATAAAAAAAATACCTAAAAATAAAAAATTAAAAATTTAGGGGTGGACTACCCTTAACGTTTAGGGGATGAAAAATATATGTTGTCCGATTCTCAGACATACCCAATATGCACAGAAAATTTCATGAGAATCGGTCAAGCCGTTTCGGAGGAGTTTAACTACAAACACCGCGACACGAGAATTTTATATATTAGATATAGATATAGATTTATAGATAATATATGGTGTTTTTGAATTATCTATGACCAAACATAGATAGTTTTGCGGTCTGATCGTATGTAAGTAATTTATTGTTATACATTTAAGCTATTCAGGAATAGTTGCACAACGTCGAATAAAAATTAAAAAAAAAACTTTAAATAATTATCATTAGGTACCAACATTTGTTTCGATTGAATCATACTTTTAATATTACATAAAGTTCCCAGACATATAGGGCAAATATCAAATAGCATTTAACCTGAAGGGGCCTGAGTGACTCTAATCATCACATCTGTTCACTCCCCTCTGACCGGAAGTGGGTCACAGTTGTTCGAGGGAACACCGATTTTCAGCCACCGGAACTTGCCAACGTTCCACATTCAAATTTTATTGGGGTAGTGAGAAACGCGGTTTTAATGAGGGTTGTGATTCGTTTAATTGTTCTAAACTTGAATTATTATAATTATTGTTCGGCGTGGAATAATTGCAGTAGTTTTTGTGTGCCTTGTCTTGATACTAGACGCATGTTGTAGCTTACAATATATTGTTTTCTTACAAATAATTTAAATTTCTTTCTAAATATTTACGATGTTATAATAAAAATACATAAGTTTGAAAGAAGCAGAAGGTCACCTTAAAATTCAATAAATAACTGTAAAACAGACTTTCAAATTAGTCGGGGGCATGGGGCTTTGGCCGTTACAAAGTTTCATCCAACTCATTAATTGACTAATGAAGTTATTAAAAAGATTTAAAATAAAACATACTTGTCCTGCCAATAGAAGATGCTGCACATTGACATCATGCGAATAATTCGATGACCGGACGAATTTGAGCCAATTTGATTTATCTGCTGTCCCATCCAACCAGCCACGAACACCATTTTTACCAAGAACCTGAAAAAGCATAGAATTTAAAATAAGAACCCATTCTTAGATTAAAATAAAAACTTTTTATTTTCAAGGAAACCGCCATCTAGTGTAATATATCAGAACTAAGATAAGTTTAAGGAATGTACGAACTAAGTTGGTTGCTAGCTATCATTTCTTTTTTGTTCTATCTAAAACATGTACTATTAAATGACAACTGCATTGTAATAAATATCAAATAATAAATCAGTACTAGTATTATAAGAAAATTATAATAATGTAAAATTTATTTCTGAATGAGCGCCATCTATATATTGACGTTAATACAATTACTTTTGCGGCTGTCTAATAGATGGCGATATTAGTCCACGCCAAGATTGTCGGACAGTCACAGCTTGTACATTTATCACTTCACCCTTGATAATTTAATTTCATAGGCCTGCGATTATTTATTACGATTTTATCACTCAAAATTTATACAAAGCGGACTTAGTTTGAACAAGTTTTTTAATTAAAGAATTTTTTATTTATATATAAGAATCGTATGTTTTTGTTTTCATAAAATTTGCGCAGTCATTAATTATCAATTACAAACACATCATAAATATGGAGGAAGAAAGAATTTCTTCAGGGCTGAGACGAAATATGTGTCGTAAGTAAATTTCCGTAACGTAATGGGGCATGGGATCGACCCATTACAATATACATGATCTCTTTATTTAGACATGCATTAAAAATCCACAAGCATGACATTAAAAAACTTAAGGCGACTATATATATTATTAATAACATATGATATTATCAATTTAAAGGTTTAAATAGAAAACAAACACCAAAAACGAATTATAGGCCTAGTACCCATAACACAAGCTTCACTAGCTTAGCATGGGACTAGGTCAATTGGTGTGAATTGTCCAATCCAATGTCCAGTCCAATAGGTATAGAAGGTGCAGGCGCTAGGTACCATGCTATATGTGAATTTTTAAATATTCATAAATTTCTCAGAATACAACCAATGTGGTTTATGCTAACGTTCATTCATTCTTATTCCATTTTTAAAGTCTTGAAGTATAACAAAACGAACTTACCAACTCCTCAAATTACAGATAAACGTAAGTAAAACAAGGGTTCAAACCCACAATTTACAACAGACACTTCATATGCATACAGCAAACCGAGTATTAAATATAATTTTACATATTCAAGGAATAATAATGCTTGTTGTAAAGTAATTGGGGCTGTTATCGCATATTTTATTTCGATTGAGTCATAATACAATAATAGGCTGTATTTTTGTATTAGAGGGGTTTGTGTTTACGTAATGTTCAATTGATCTATTGCTTTGGTGAATATAGTGGCTTTTGGTCAATTGGTTTCGTAACTCCAAACCATCGCAAGCCACCGCTCATTATATCGCAGTAGTACAAAAATGTTTTCAGTTTATATTTGATAAATGTTTTATTTGATTCGATACAGATTGCGTTTCGTGCGTAAGTATAGTTTGTTATTTAAAACATAAGAGTAGGTAATTAAGTATTAGTTTGGGGTGGACTGCTAAATTGGTGAAAAATGCTAAATGGATAAATATCTTAGGTAGCATCTGGTTAATATATGAATTAGAGTTAAAAAAAATAAGACCAGCAGCGCATTGTCTGAAGGACAGTGCCTGCACGAGTCAAGGCTATAAATTTTGCTCAGTCAGGCTTTCTTAGTTTTATAAACGTGGCGATTTCCTAAATCGTCGGAGTTACGCCCCGAGAGTATAGCCAGACGTACGCACTCTTTTCAACCGTTACATTCGTTACATAGCCATTACACATTTCATTATTACGCTTACATTCTATTGTTGTACGCGAGTGGTTAATATAGAGTAAAACTAAAATCTTCTATTTTATAAAAAAATATATAAATCTTTTATTTAAGGCACCCCGATGACCCGGGAACCATACAGTGTCTTTGTGGTAAGCGCTATCTTCGTTATTCACCTATCTCATAAGTTTCTTTATCCGTCTTAATTACGTCTTAAAGAATGAATGAAAAATTTACCAACACAATACCAATTTGTTAACACTTAAACGATAACTGATAAGACATAACTAATGACAAATTGAATTCACGAGGCGTAAAATTAAATCTCGATCCCCAACACTGAAAATTACTCGAAAAATAAAAAGCATCTGTTACACAATAAAGATATCATAACAAGTAAGGTATTAATCAAAGGTTGGGAAACCCTCCTTACGCGTCAACGGCAAGCCTTTACGCAGCATTTATCACGTTATTAAAACTACGTCGGGTGTAGTAAAAAAGATAATTATCTTAGAACCCTCGTCTTGGGTAGGGCTGGGCTTACGGAGATTCGAATTTTGAATTCGGTTGACCCGACAAGTGCCACACTTAAGTAGGTACCAACAGAATTATGTTTAAACGTTGTGTTCGAGTTATGAATTGTTTAGTAAAAAATAGTACTTCTAATATCTACTAAACATTTTTCAGCATTTTTAATTGGTTTTTATAACTGAGAATTCGAATTTTGAATTTTGATCTTTGCGTCTCTGTCGACAAGTGTCTAACAGTTTTACCAATAAAATTATATGTTAAGTTGTGTTCGAATATATAATTAATTTGATAGGATAGAATTGTTTAGTAAAAAATTGTAATTTTAATATCTACAGAATTTTCAAGTATATTTTAATTGGATTTTATAATTGAGAATTCGATTTTGAATGTTGAACTTTGCGTCTCTGTCGACAAGTGTCTAAAAGTTTAATTTGATAGGTAATATAAGTTGGAATGATAGGTTAAATACATGCCAAATCGTTTTTATACCTGAAATACCAATTGTAATACTCTTTTTAATTGTGTCTTAATCCAGCCAATTTGAAGAACTAATTTTACATGATTTAGTGTCGTCCGAATAAAATTTTCGTATTAAAGTTTGTTCATAACACTTTAATACGAAACGGTCAACCCTATGCCCTCTGATGTGCTGAAGCAGCACATGCAAGCGATCAGTCATCGATGAACAGTGGGCAGAGGATGGTCGCGGACACTGCGACACTGAAATATGTGTGTCCGCTGTACACGACACTTATAGATGGACATTGTTAATTAAATTTGGAACGGAAAATTTGAATGTCATTTGAATTTAAAATTCGAATATTCAAATAGATACCTTGACGGGCAAGTGGCTTAAAATGTTAATTCCCGAATGATAATAATTAGAATTTGAATGTAGGTGGGGCTAAGTTCAAATATATTTAAAGTCTATATGTTTATTCACCATAATGACATACATTATCCGTAAACTAAGCCAATACGCTAATGTCGATAAAAATATGATATACACAATATCGCTACTGTGAACATATAAAGAAGTCGATAGTGTCAGAGACAGCATTCAGTAAGCGCAACGTTTTTGTTATGGGGATCTGTGCAACAGACAAGTTATGGTATCGTAAACAATCTTGGCCGTCGCTGTCGCACTTTTCCTCTAGGTACAAAGAAACCGAATTCTATGTAGAACGCATGGGTTGCTCATATACTATAGTGCCTACTATATGTAATAAGCCTTAACTGTCCCGTCTTGTTTCTAATTTATTATAAAGGTACACTGCCACAGGGACCAAACTTTTTAAATTTGTTTTAGTTTTCTTTTTATTAATTTTTTTTAATTATTATTATGTAGGTTAAGAACATTGCAAATAGTATATTTGATTGTTATGTTTACATGAATTACAATATATATTTATTATATCCAATATATCAGTTAGTATCATAGATTGTAATAGGTTTATTAAATGAGAAAAACAAATATCAAAATCGCATTTAATTATAAAAAACGCTGCGGTATTTATCATCCGTATAAACGGAAGCCGGAACCGCACTGCAGATTATTATAAAAACTGAGTTTGTAATTTAAACGAACTGCGGTAGATCTCATATTTTCCGCGGAGATCGCAATTTCCCAGAATACTCGGAAAAGCTACAAATGTTCGCGACTCGCGCCGGAAAATTACATTTCATAAATTTTAGTGATGTACGAGAACATTTATCGATGTTTATTGTTTGTTTGGTTTTCGCTAATGTTGCAAACATTGTAATTGTTAAAGCTGTATAAAGTAGACTGAAAAAGAAGATAAGAAGTTTAGTTTCTAAAATACAACGAAAGCTTTCATTTCTAATTAAAAACAATTATGACTTCTTTTAAGAATCAAAAATGGATTTAATGTAGACATAAACAATGATGACAAGAGATATAGATATGTGCTTAAGAACATTATTTATTTCACTGATAATAAATATAATTAAAAGTCTTCTAGAGCATTGTTAGCTTAGTGGCAGTGTGAGACTCATCCCTGAAGTCGTAGGTTCGATCCCCGGCTGTGCACCACTGGACTTTCTTTCTATGTGCGCATTTAATATTTGCTCGAATGGTGAAGGAAAACATCGTGAGGAAACCGGCTTGCCTTAGACCCAAAAAGGAGTGTGTACAGAAGCCTGATCACCTACTTGCCTATTAGATCATAAAACATATACAGAAATCTGAGACCCGGACCTAAAAAGGTTGTAAGTATTCAAAGCATTCTTATGATTTCAATAGAAGTAATAGTACAACAATCGCGTTTACATTTTCTCTATTATAAACGATGTCACACTGTCACATGCGTCTATCTATCTATATATTATCTATCTATTCCGTGTATAGCATCGATCAAGGCGCATCCCTAGCCCCAACTGAAGAGCGGTTGGTACGAGCGGCTAACACGCGTCGTTGCGCGAATCATACGTCTCGTTTCACAAGATAACAATTTGTGTGCGGGGTTATTTACCCGTGCACGCCTGCGCCAAATTGGACCAACTACATATGTGGCCCCGTTTGAAGAATATACATTTAATTTAAACTTTGTAGGGGAAAATACTTGTTTAATTTAACGTGAGAAACCTTTGGGAACCCTGGAAGGTATCTTTTATAAATAAGACTAATCTAACAATTTTCATATTAACTGTAAAATAAACTCAGTGAT